TAACAGATGCTAAGACATCTATTCTAAATTGAGGATTAAAAGTCATGTAATGACATTAACCCAGTCATTATTAGCAGGGTAGAAATAATTGGCCTTTAGCCTACTTGGATTAGTGCTGATGAGCTGTAGAGATTTCTTTGGCTGGTACCCAAAGCATTAGCTGACGGCCCGGTAACCTTACGTCAAATCGAGGTGGCTTTTCCCTGAAGAGTTGCTGGTTGCCAGACAAAGGAGGTTCTGCCAGAGGGCCCAGCTGTTTCAGGGTTTAAGGACTGCCAGCAGGGTCTTTATTTGGCATCAGGATTTTTGTTTAGATGGTCTGAAGGAGGCATGCAGCCGGGTTGGTTGCAGCAATGACTAACTCTAATTCATGTACTTAGCAAACGGAGCACGACTGACTATGTAAGCCAAGCAAAAAATAAAAAGATGAAAAACAAAATTTTAGTTGTGCCATTTTAGAGTAGCTTCTGATTTGGTTTTTAGAAAAAGCAAAGCATTATGCAAGAAAAGTTAAGTGAAATTTAAAAAACAAAGGTCAGGAGTGATACTGCTGCAGAGCATCGCAAAGAAAAGAACAGACGTGGCTACAAGGCCAAGATGTAAAGAGCAATGCACTTAACATTGAACTGGAGCTGAAATACACTTCTGAGGAAAAGTCCTGGTTTTCTCCCTTTGTTTCAGCTGGAAAAAAAAAATCCTTTATATAACAACTGAATTGTTAAATCTGGAGTTCACTTGTAAAATGTGTTAAACAAAACTGCAATCCACCATGAACTTATATCACAATACGCAAACAACGACTTTATGGGCGTGGTTAATTGATTTAATCAAGAGAATCAACTATTTCTAACACAATCAATACATGCATAGGACATTATATATGTGTGTGTATGTGTGTATATATATATATATATATATATATATATATATAGTCTGATATATTCTGAATTGTCACAAGGTGGCAGTGTAGTTGGTTACATGGTAGATGTTGATTTGGACCTCACAATACATATTTCAACTTTTCTGAGAGAACTGCATCAAATTACTCCGAAATACTTGAGGGATAATAACAACTAGGTTACAGTCTAACATAATTGTTCCATGATATTTAGGACACATTTAAGAAAGGTTAGGACAGGTTGTCTATGGACGTGTTTAGACCTGGTATTCACATTTGTCTCAGTTGATCCGATCACATGCAGACAGCTTTAAATTCGTAAGCTCACAAGTGGCATTAGAATGTTTCTCCACATGCATCTCGATTTACCACTTGTGATCAAGTCTCACTTCCCACTTTACAAGGAAATACAAACGTTAGTAATTTCCAAATGATGTTTTAGCCAGTCTGATTATACAGATGGGTCCGTTGTTAATGTGTTTGTGTGTCGGTGTGAGAGGGAGAGACAGACAGAGACAGAGCAGAGTCAGGAGGGACTGAGAGAATCAGTGCTCTACGATAAGAGATAAGATTTGACTCATTTTACAAAAAAATAGACAATCAATCTGTGACGGTCAGTGGTGATACTGTGGCCAGAAATTAATCAATGTATGGGAAACACTGAGGGGAGTTAAAATGTGTTCGGTGTGGGTCTTTGGATTGGGCCCAGCACGCATTTGTGTTGACATTGCTAAAAGGCACTGCATCTAAAGGGGTCCTGAGTGCGTCTTGGGAGCATTCAAACCTGCACTTGTGTCTACTTGTGCTCGGATCACCTGAGACGTGTGTTAATACCAGGTCTGAACAGGGATGTGATCTGTCATTTGGAAACCCCCTGAGGAGTGAGGAAAAGGGAGAGACGAAGGAATGTGGTGTTTTTGTGTGAGTGTCTTTGAAAGTCCAATGTAGGAGGAGTGACTCACACCTTAATGATAATCCTTTCATCTTCTCTGAGGGAAGCAGCCACCAAATATTAACCAGGGCTGAGTCCTGTTGCAGGATTCTATTGCTTGTTGGCCTTGTGTCCAGTTTTAATCCACCAGGCTTTTACTGTAAATCTCTCTTACATCTTTCCTGTGAGCGAGATGTTATTTTCTCTGTTCCATATGAGTCTGAAGGTTTAATTGGAGGATGTCAGGTCCATAAAGAAGCTGAACGTTGCCACTATGAACTCTTTGAGGGCTTTGAGGCCAGGAATGTCCGCTACATCTGTAACTGACACAAACAGCTATGTCATATTCTTAAATTCTCAACAAAAATAAAGATACAGAAGCAAAGACATTAGGGCACAAAGTAAAAACATGCATCGCTTTTTGTATGTAAAGGCAGCATAAATGACACGGTGAGAAACCACTGCCGTATATCTTTTTAATTGTATTTATTTCAAACTATTCTGTGTCATAAATACAAATCATTTAGAATAGCTGTGTCTGTATCTATATCTAAAGTTTTCTGTATTTGATTCCTACTCAAGGTCTCATTTATGGGCTTCACTCTTGGCAAACAACTTAAAATCCTCTTTCATTTAGGTTTTCCAACCATAGCACCATGTGCACTTATAAAGAGGTTGACAGTGTCTACAGTTCGACTATATTGACTGGCAGAGACATTATTGTGACATCCACTTAGGTGTGAATGAACCTAGTTGTGGTCAAGGCACATTTTAGACAGTAAGAATAAATTAAGGATTAATGCACTCTCACGTCAAAATCACAAACCATCTCTCTGAGAAGGTGGAAATTGTCTTCTTGTTTTGGAGATTATATTCCCATACAGAGAAGATAGGACAAGGACCATGTTTTAGAAATCTTAGCGTATCTACATAATAATTCAGTCTCTTGAGACCATATCAACTCCCAGCAGATGGAGCGTGGTCACGGTTGTGCAACAGAGCAGTACAATCTTCTATGTTGCTCCTTTAACTGAAAGCTGAGGATGCAGAATATGATTTTGCTAACAAAGCTGTGCAGGTGGTCGGTACTGAATTTGTTATCTGGCCTAGACATACTCTAATACACAAACCCACAGGAGACAAGCCACAGTTCTGTTTATATAAAGTGTTTGCACATGTCCCTTTGAGACATTATGTCACATACACATACTAGCAGCCCAATGGAAACGTATAATATAAGCATGAGTCTAAATTGAATTCAGGGACAATATGCAGAAGCCAATAAAAAGGATGATTCAGGTAAAATGTCACTATCAAGATAAGTATGCTGTCATTGTTCAGACTAAATCTAATAAATAAATAAATGGCAGTTATGTAGTGTAGTCACACTGATTAGCAAGTCTCAAAGCCACTCATGCAACCTCCCAGTGCTCGTGTTACTGACTGTATTTTTTGAATATTAAAAACCAGAGTGACAATCTGTTAAATGAGCTCTGACTGTTTCCATCTCCTCACGAGTTCCCTCTCTATCTGTATCTGTCTGGGACCAGACATCTCACAGAAACACCCCGGGAAGACAAAATCTGCTTCAGCAGACCCTCGACTGGAATCATTAGAACCCGTCACAGATGCTGGTGGACTGTTCTGAAGATGAAACGAGAGCTCCTGCGACGAGCGAAGGAAGAAAGCCCAGTAATAACGGATGGCAGAGGTCTGCTTGTCTCTGTCTTCCTCACAGTTTATAGCAAATCTCCCTCATTATGTCACTATGTGGAACCAATAATACCAGTGAGAGATGGACAGAAGAAAGAGAAGGAGAAGGGAGCAGGATAGGATGGATGGAAGGTAAGAAGAACAGCTGAATATATTTTTACACCTTAATAACATTTCCCACTCTGTTTTATTGTTTCTATATCATTGTTTCTTTCAAAGTCGCACAGCCCAGACCAGGTGGTCTTGCTGTCTCAGCCAGATATGTTTCATTTTCAAGAATGACGTTTCGCAGCAGACCCATCGGACAAATTCCTCGTTCGTTTGTTGGATTCATCAAATCAGAATGGATCAAACCAGTAGAACTGATTAAAAATGTACAGTCAGTTCATCGTCCATACTGTTGGACCTTATTGAGCTGAGTTGTTAGTGAAACAATGTGCTTGTAAACACAAAGCGAGTGTTGAGAACTGAGGGAAACTGCCTGTTTTGGCAACGACACAAAGCCGCCTGGCTTCTCTCCAAAATGACCACAGCTGCAACAAATTGTGAATCGAGTGAACTGGCGCTGAATCGATTCACCGCCATCACACAGATAGAGGGAGAGAATCAAGTTCATTAAAAGAATCTGTCACCACCACAGTGCATCCGTTTTCAAGACATAACATAGGGATATCTGATTTCCATTATGGACCGGTTGTTTTAGCAGATTCAGAATGTTATGAATGTTATGTGCTTCTGCTTCTTTCCTCTTTCAATGTTTTCATATCTTCACCAAGGAGTGTGTTTAACAGGATTCTGCAAAACAACTCAACTACTTTCCATTACATTTTGTGGAGGGGTGGAGCATGACACAAAGAAGAACCCATAAAGTTTTGGTGTGGATCCAGGGTGTCTTCTTCACTTTCTTTATCACTGCGAGAGGGTGTTTTTTGACATTTCTGTCTCAGAGAATAATTCATGGATCTTGAAGTAAACTGCAAGCATACTTAGGGACTGCATTTTATAAGTGTGTGTAATTTGGTGCAGATCTAGCTCATTTAAATGTGGTTTCATAAGGGGACTGTTGGGCTTTGTGGATGCATGCATTCTCTAAATGCCACTATTTTTTTATTTTCTGTTTTAGCAGAAAGGAAGAAGGAAAACCTCGAACTTTGGTTTATGTTTTTAACTTTAAATTATATTCCTATTAAACAAGAGAAGGTGTAATAGATTCATCTTATCATGACTTCCTTTGTCTGAGAACAGAATAAAAAACAAGTGAAGCCACCGTCTAAAGACATTTGTTTGATCAAAACTAGAAAAAGGATTTGACATGAAAAGCACAAATCATAAAAACCCTCAAACAACAAACCACAAAGTCTGATCCAAAGGTCAACGGTAAATGAAAAGAAGGAAACACTAAGATGAGTTAAGACAGAAGAAGGATGGATGATGATAAAACAAAAAACATCGACTTACATGGGATTCCCAAATCACTCTTTTCTTTGGACTCAGTGGACTTCTGAAACAATGAACCTTAGGATAGGGGGAGGAAGGGGATGATGGAATGGATGCAAGGAGAAAGGAGAGGGACAAAACAAAAATCAAACAAACTTCAAATAAAATGGGACAGACATGACAGGACACAACAAAATGTATTGACGTGACAAAGTTTGTTTCTTTGTGCCAGATACACTGTACTTTATCCTCTACAGTAATACCAGATAATAAAATAGAAATAAAAAAAGAGGATTTAGAAACCCCAGTGTCTGTAAGGCAGTTACTGTTGTGTCATGTTGAATGGTCCACTTAGGGCAGAGAGAAGGTTTAAGACACAGATAAACTGCTGATGTACTGATGAATAATTGAGGTGCTAGTGTATAATTAATAAAGGCAATGCAGCAACATGGTGCCTTTAAAAGCTTCTTGCCAGACCAGCTGATGGTAGAAGACACACACAGATTGGGCACCAAAGGGAAAGGGGCACTGACGAGGTTAAGTGGGGTGACGTGCGAATAAAAAAACATGCAGCACACATGATTGGACGTTGAAGGTGAGACGGGCGACATTGCTCGGACGAATTTCGAGGTCCACTTAGCATGTTGCCCCACTGTTATATCAGACTTTTAAAAGTCTTTTAATAAGGGATGTAGCAAAAGATTGCATTTACATGATAGCATCTACCAAACGTCTGAGTGAGCGATGATAAGAACAGCAGCACGCCATGACAAAGATTTATCATGTTCTAATTATAACACATTTGTTCAAACAATATTGAAACATGACGGCAGTAAAATGGAGCATGACTGATTCAGTAAAAGCCGATGTAAGTGTTATGGAAAGAAAAGACGCGAGGACAAAACATTTAGAAAAAGGGAGCAGAAAACGGTGAACGAACAATGAGCTGAAAGCAAATTGAATCCACAATGAGAAGAAACAAAAATGGAGAGCTTTCAATGGGGAGAAGGCTTGTTTGATGCTCTCCAGCACCTGCTGATCTTTTTGTACAATACAACAAACATTGTTACATAACAGCCAGTATCTCCAGTGCTCTCTGTGCTCCGAGGGACCACACGGTGGATTTTCTTTGCTCAGGAAGTCGTTTTTTTTAGTAGCACATGTTCACACCAACACAGTGAGAGAGTAGGTAGTGAGTGAAATGTCGTGCTCTCAAGGATGACACAGTGAATCTCTGAGTGAATCTGTTCCAGGAATCCTGATCGATGTGTCAGACAAATGTCAACAGGCCAGCATACATCAAACTCTAAAAAAGTAAAACACACACAAACACATACACACACACACACACACACACACATATCACACAGACAAGCGCATAACAGCTACATCTCAGATATACACAGAAGCAGAGGAGGCACTCCATGCAAGGCAGAGTGTGTGAGGTCAAATGGATTTCTACCTCTAAGGATTTAACAGGACAACTTTAGAAAAAAAAGTTTGGAAGAGAGAGGGAGCTGGTGAGAGAAAGAACGAGAGAGACGGGGAGTGTAGAATGATGTTTTCCAGCACAAAATCAATGATGGAGGACTGTTGAAAACATTAACCCCCTGTGGCGGTGGGGTGTGGTTAGGGCGCCAACTGCTGGACGACAGGGAGGAGTGGCTCAGCCGGTGATTGGACAGTTGTGCAGAATCAGGTAATCAGTCGATCAATAAGAGCATGCTGGTAGCCTGGTTCTGGTCTCTTGCAGTAGGCTGGGCATCTGACGCGGGAGCAGAGCACAAGATGTGTGAACGTGTGGACGCGAGTGGGTCAAGCGACCCTATGATATGTGTGTGCGCCTGAGGGCATTAATTCTAGCCATCTTTTCCCGGAGCAGGCTGAGTATCCCCCCCCTTACACACTGACAGTGACTTATTATCATTTACAGTCAACGTTACATAAATACATAAATGCATCGTACTCTGTGTTCATTTTATCTGTATTTGTGTCGTCTGAAAGCTTTCAGATAAAAATTAAACAGATTAGATTGAGCAGTGCCACTGGAAATCGTGAGGGGGCAGTGTAGCTAACAGTTCAAGCGAGACGATTGTAGGACACAAGGAAGAAATTTCAACAATAGTGGAACTTTTTGAGTAGAGATGGCTGAGAAACTACGGGCGTCTATATGATGTTACTACAAACAGGCAACATTATCCGAACCCCCTCTATTGTCATCATGTTTGTTGATGTCATGAGAAACTCTCATGTCCGTGCTGCCCTCTAGTGGATGTATTGCTTAACAACATTGCCAACGTAAAGGACGCCGAGAAGGATGAGGATAGTGACGGTAACATTGTTGGAAACGGACGAATCTCTTCACGAATGCAAAGGAGGCTTAAATGTAAAGAACAGACTTTAAAAGAGTCATCATCCAACCATGGAAGAACGATCAGTCATTTAAAGCCTAGAATGCTCTGGATGCAAAAAGAACACTTGAACAAACACACACACACACACACACACACACACACACACATACACACACAGAGTTCAGAGTTTCCTGTTAATGCTACAGGAAGCAGTTGAAACATTAGTGCTGACATAAAGCCACGTCTGTGGAGTCATTTTAAAGACAGAAAATCATTCAGGGGAAATGAGCCTAAATCTATACCTCTCTGGGTTTTATCCCAGATTCCGTGGCCATACCTCACTGGCCTCAGGGAATCCTTTTGATGGATCAGAGACGCACTATATAATACACTGTGTTGGGAGTGGGCAGGGCTCTGCATATACAGGAAGTTCTGTCAATAATGTGCCTACGGGAACAGGCTTTGGAGGGATCATTTTATATTATTCAACTGCTCATGTCATCTGTTAAATCACCACTATCTATTCCCCTCTGGCAGCAGAGTTCCTCACACAACTAACAGTTCACTCAGAGTCAGGCTTTGTGCTCACGGATAAATTATATTATTCATTCATGACTGGGTGACTAATTTGTTGAATTTTTATTTGATCAAAAATAAATCACAAATTACAAATCACATGATCAGGAAGATCAATTTTATATCTGTATAAGTGCATGAAAAATCACCCTAGACTTTATATAAGGGTGGAGGATATATATTTTAATCTCAAGAGACCGTCCATGTAAGGAAAGGACAAAATAAAATTTACATAATATAAAGGCAGCAGCCCAAAAAATGTCCTAAGATATAAGAATGAGGGACAATGGCTGTGCTTTAGCCTAGAAAACCATTCTCATATTAAGCATGTAGGCATGAAAATCTATGATGCAGTATTAGTATTCAGAGTTTTATCTCCATCCGTTAAATGATATACATTTGTACTGAATCATCAGGTCAGTTTTAACTTTAACTCTTAAAGTGTTTCTCATAGAAATGTTTTTTTATTAGGATGAGCACAGAGCCAAACTTGTGTTTCTCTTGTTCCGTGAGAAGAAAGACTAATGAGAATTGATGACATAATTACAAGCAAAGGTCTATATGTGCACTACTTTATTTCTGCTGTTACATTCTCTCTCCTCTTCATTCCGACAGGCTTCTCCCTCCCCTCACGTCAGATACTTGTCTGCCAATTACTCTGAGCGCAGGGAGAAACAAGGACTATTCCTACAAGTCAACAAATATAATTGCCTCCACCTTGGAAAAAACTGCTGCTGCTATACTTGTGCCATTATGACTCAACCCACATTTTCCATGCTGTTTCAAATTTTAGCACACTCTTCTCTCTGGTGTCAGAAATTGTAAAGGGGCTGTGGATGATTGTTTCATATCATTATTGATGCTATTTTCCATATAAAACAGGAGTTTTTGACTTGACTGATGTCAGGTGCAGAGCGAATTGCTCTAGAGGAGAAAGAGGAGCAGGTGAGCCTTGAAACCAGAGGGACTGAGAGGACGAGTCAGGGAAAAGAAAAGGAGATTGAGGAAAGGAGATTGAATGCAAAGAGCAAGGTTTGTAGGAGGAGAGGGGAGTAAGGTGAGGAGGGAAGAGGAAAATAGAAAAAGAGGTGAGACAGGAGGATGACGCCAAGTATCTGCAGAAACTTTGCTGCTACACGAGTGATGAAAATGCACACACTAAAGTTGACAGAGGAAACAAAGCATAGGTTTTATTTTAATTCTATATAACATTTCCAAACTTGACGGAGGGATGCGTTATGGGTCGGAGAAAAACCCATGACATCTGGATCAGGGGCAGGTCCAGTTATTTCTTCTTCACATTGCTGCATTTATTGGCCATTTTCACTAATATACCAGGGAATAATTTATGGAACTTGATGAAAAAAATCAAGAACCTTTCGGATAGGAATATTTATAAGTGAGTGAAATTTGACGCAGCCTGATTGAATTTAAGTGACTGTTTTAAGGGGCCTTGGCAGAGGTATGCACTCTTCTGAGAGCTATTGCTATTTGAATATTGTGTATTTTTTGTTGATTTTGTACTTCATGTGTCTTTGGTACTAATCCTGTATACAGCTATGATGATTCTTGGCCTTTTTTCATCACGATGAGTCCCTGCAAACTAGGAACATCGACTTGCATTTATTGTTTGTCCATTTCTCTGGGAAAGTGCAAAACACTCTGCATCTACTTTTCTTGACAGTCTCTATGACACGTAACAGTGTGTTTCCTTCACCCTGACTGTGACCTCACATGCAGCCAGAAAGGATCACCATGAAGAACAAATGCAATTCTCCCCAGAGGTTTCCCACCTCTGCTTTATTTATTTATTTATTTTAAAACTATTTCAAATATTGAGTTATAGATTTATCAGTCAGGATTTTAAATGGTTTAAATCATGTTTTGTTGCACTTCACTCACCAGCCCGATAACTGCCTCATATAAGGTCAATTTACTTCCAAGTCAAATATCATCTGGAGCAGACACAGCAATGCGTTTGTTCAAACTGACATACTCATTTTCATGGTTAGGTAAGACGTATGACACAAATTCAATATATTTACAAGAGACCTGTCAATGCTTAGTCTCTGAGAGAATCATTACTGTCAACTCACTTTGCATACAGAGTCCGTCGGTGCAATTCTGAGACTGGAGCACGAGCCCCTCGCAGTCCTTCCCTCCGTTCTTAGGAGCTGGGTTGTTGCACTCCCTTCTCCTCCACTGGGTACACTCTGTCCCACAGGCTGACCACTTACTCCATTCGGTCCACACACCGTCCACTGGAGGGAAAAGAGCCAGGGGAATAGGAATCACAAGATGAGACACGGGATGTGAAAAAGATGAGGCCAAGAATAATGTCCTCAGTTCTGCCCCAAACCCTCTGACGTGTAGCATATAGAGGATAGAAAAGTAGAAAATAGAAGTGAAATCTGAGCACAAAGGGACACAGGCAGAGATGTGTGGCCTTACAGTAAAACAGCACAAAGGAGAAGTGGATACAGTTCAGTATAATATGGCCATGGTAGCGTGAATACATTGGCGTATACCATTGAATTAATTTGGAATAGAGCAGAATTACCGGTGCACAGTGTGGTGCAGGACAGTTTCTGGATGGCCTGTCCGTCACAGGGCAGTCCGCCGTTGAGAGGGGCGGGATTAGTGCAGCTCCTGGTTCGTTTCTGGAAACCTCGACCGCAACGGCTGTTACACACTGACCACTCCGTCCAGGTCGACCAACCACCGTTCACTGAGAAAAGAAAGAGATCAGTCACTTAAGTGCATTGATCCATCAGTGCTTTCATAACCCTTTAATAGCCACCACCTTGGAGACACCACATATCCAAAGGTGCTGTCAATTGTGCACTTGAGGCAGTTAAGATATATTAGGTTAAAAAAAAAAGGTAAATCAGCCACAGTAACAAAGCAAAAACCAGCGTTTATTCCTTTTCGTTGAATTTTCAGTCCGTCAAAAGAACAGGGTGTGAGGGGTTTCCTCCAAACTTCAAGCTATAAAGACACTGACATAACATACAGATCTGCCACAAAGCTCTCATAAAGGTTAATGATAAAAGCAATGACCCCCACATATCCTCTATGACTAAGGAATTCATTTTCGATTTCCTGTAAGTAAAATAAAGTTTAGTTATGCAATTACACTATACACATAAAGAGCAGAAAATCAAAGATATAAGCTTTTTCAATTGATTAATGCACTTTGACATAATGTGCGTTTATGGTGTTGAATGATGTTAATGTATTATATATATTTTATATTTTTAGATTGTTCTTTATGTGTATGAATTAACTGTTGTGCATTTTTCTACTGAAATTGCTCCTTGAGGGACCAATAAAGTGTTTTTAACTGAACTACGGAACAAACTGCAGCAGATATACAAATATAAATACGTCAAGATGTGTAATGTTTCACAAGAAATGGCTGTGATGAAGGAATTTAATGACACAAGCCGCATCCCGAGTGATTTTAATCATCTCTTATCCGAGGGGTCGTCCCTGATGGAGAAATGTGTGTTTCATTTTACTGAACAATTTGTCTTGATGGAGTCAGTGTGTGTTTTACAGATGCCAGGAGGCTGGGTCGTTGAAGTTTAGTGGGAACAGACACTCACACTCTCACACACACACACACACAAACACACACACACACACACACACAATTGTTTGATTACACTGCTGCTGTGGCACAAATTTCCCCTGCTGTGAACACACTCAGTAACAGAAGACACAGACTGACACACATATGCAGAATCATTAAGTTGTATAACTGACAGTTAAACCATCATTCTGCTTGCAAGTTGATTCCCCTTGTTGCTCAGCACACAGGGAGAAAATAATATAAAAAATGAAAAAAGAATAATGTGGTGCGAGTCTCTGTAGTCTGTTTTTTTCACTCATGTCTGCACCTCTGTGAGGTTCTACTGCATTCTGTCACATTTGACCTCATTAATTTTTACTATCGAAGATTTTCAAGAGTGAAAAAAACGTGGCAGTGTTAGCGCAGACAATGACGAGGGCAGATGAGACGGAAAGGGAGGAATCAGGTATAAAGTTGGAATGAGTCACAAGGACATCCAGAGATTTGACATGTGCAGAGGTGTAGTGGGCTGAAATTCCTCTGCTGCTGCTTCTGTCTCGGCCCAGTGGACAGTGCCCACTCTGCTTCTTTCCCAACATCCAATTAGAAATGAATCATCCACCAGGAAATTCAGATACAGTTACTTTTTGTCATACTTTTCCTTCCTCCTCACCTGTCTTCATTCCATCTATATCTGCTCCATTTTCTCCCCCATATGCTCTCGGTTTTTATTTTTTCCTCCGCTACTATTTCACCTTGTCAACAGTGTCAGCCAGGCCGCTGTGCAGCTGAGAAGATTGAACAATCTATTTCTGTGAGGATACATCAGTGTCAAACCACTCCATCGCTCGCCGTGTGTATCCAACACGCACACATGCACCGTTACTTTTGATTGAAACACTCCTCCCAGTGAATTGAGCCCGTGTTATATTTGAGAGGAACACTGTTTGTGTGTGATACGTGTGTGTTTTCCTTATATATTGTTTCTCCTCAAAATGTTTCCTATCCCCTCATGTCGTGCTGGCATTTGGTAAAATGAAAAAAAAAAAAACGGGAAAGCGAATCATATGAGGCATTTTCCCTCCTCGCAAAAACCTCTTTCTTCAGTGTTTTTGTTAACAGAGGGGCTTGGACTGAAAAACAAACCAATACCCTTCAGAAGAGAACTCTTCAAATCTATATTTTCACAGATGTTATCGTGCCATATGTTGCAAAACTCATTTGGTGGCAGCTCAAAGTGCAGTCGTTTGGAAAGCCAGGGTCTTTTCATTTCAAACTGAAGGTGTGATTGGTGGGTTTTAATTGCACGGGGGTAAGGGTGATGACGGAATATTGGGCTAATCACAAAGAGCGTGTGTTGGCATGGCAGTAAAGCTAATTTCATGTAGCAGATGGGTGCTGGCTTGGCTCATCTGAGACAATGTTGGGTAACTGCAGCTCGCATTTAAAAAAAGTGTCAGATTGGTAAAATCTTAAAGGTACAGTGTGTAGAATCTAGTGACACCTAGTGGTGAAATTGCATGTGGCAGCTGAATACCCATCACCTCACACTCCCCTTCCAAACATGACATAAAACCTGTAGAAGCCTTCAATTGTCATAAAAACTCAAAAGGTGTTTTTCCTGTCTGAACTACTGTAAAAAAAACATGGTGGCCTTCGTACAGAGGACCCCCTCGATGTAAATATAAAGTA